ACTACTACTACTACTACTACTATTACTACTACTACTACTACTACTACTTCTACTTCTACTACTGCTGCTACTACTACTACTACTACTGCTACTGCTACTGCTACTGCTACTGCTACTACTACTACTACTACTACTACTACTACTACTATTACTAATACTACTACTACTACTACTAGTACTACTACTACTTCTACTACTACTACTTCAATTACTTCTACTACTGCTACCTCTGCGACTTTTTTTTCCTTACTGCTACTACTGCTCCTACTACAACAACTACTACTACTATTAGTTAACTTTCCTCCTTAACTTTTGTTAGATGATCGTCCGTGCGAGACATCAGTGGAGTCGTGCGGATGGAATATTACGCGGGGTTGGAAAAGAATGAAATACAGAGATCTTGACAACAGTTATCTCAACGCAGACGTTAATATAGGTAGTGACGCTGATGACGAAGGTTGGTTGTTTTGGCATATTGTGTCATTCATTGTTTTTTTTTTTGCCCCGACCTCTCTCACCTTTTTTTGTCGCTTTCGGTCTGTTTTACCAACTTAACCCCTGGAACAAGCTTAATAGCCTCTTACAGAGATTGACGACTGAAGGAAGGTGCATTTTTAATGTTATATTTCTGCTTTAGGGATTATCAGCGATCAGAACTACGAGATCCACCTCCCCGACAGTAGCCGTGGCTATGTCTCATTCTCAGACATTCGACAGGCGAAAGGGGGATTCACCATCTGCTTTTGGTTAAAGACGTCAAATGTTGGTTTCTTTATCGAATATAGAACTGAGGCATCGGGAAATCAAAATGAAACGCTAATATTTGGGCTCTATTGTGGTAACAACACCTTTGATATTCTTTTGAGAAGCCATAGAAGGTATCGAAAAGTTTTTTTTTCCTGCTATATTTTCTGCTTTATTTTTGAAAATGTGTTATTAAGTCATGACTTGAACCTGGGTTACGCAAAAAATACTACTTAATCTTAAGATGAAAATATGAAATAGCCAGAGCTGAAGCTTTTTCTGGGATCCACATATATGACCCCCACCATTCGGGCGTGTGTGGATGGGTTACTGGGCGTTTTCCAAGATCACAGCATTCACGGTTAGCTTTCTAGAGTATTTGCAGAGACATTTCGAACAGTTATGTTACCCTTCGAAATTTCAAAACAGGAGAACTTATGATTTTTAAACATTTTTAATTCAACGATGGTAGAGATATGAATCATTTTGGAAAAGAAAAAAGGTAACTTTTGAGCTCGATTGTGAAGAAGAGACAGATAGAGTTTGCCTTGTTATGAACGTTTCCTTCCATTCTTAGTTCAAAGCTCGTGAAAAGATCTATAACGTCTTTCTGTGTACATTGTTTTCTTTCTTAAAAGACATTTCTGCTTAAATTAGAACTCTTTTTTTTATTACTTTTCATACACAGTCAATATTTAATGGGCGTGACAGATGATTCTTGGCACTACGTGTGTGTGCTATTGGATGGCAACATCGGACTACTAGCTGTATTCAAAGATGGTCACAGGAATTTTAAGGAAGCTCATAGGAGAGGACCCAATTTTGAATTTTGGACGGCTGGTAATAACAGGAAAAGAAACTATTCTCACAGATGGACAACAACTAAAAAACAAAAACCAAAGAAAAAGCGAAAAAAATTAAATATTTCAAGTTGATTGGGAAGGCGTTAGATATGAAGCATATTCTGATGCATATTACACGTTCTTGAGCAGAAGCCAAGTAGCAACAGCCTGGAAGTTGGAGTGTTTTGGACTGTATCTGTTTGATTACATTCTTTTGGGATAATAGGAAATATAATTAGACGAGACCCTATTGGATTTAGGCGTTTGGTAGCGATGTATTTCAAGTATGTCACTTTGTTGATTGAAAAAATGTAGATATTTTATCAAAAACCTGTAACGGAAGGTAGCCAGCAATAATTAGCTAGTTATGGCAGAAAAAAAAATCTTGAATTATTTTTAGCTATCATATAAAATATATTCAAAGCAATTTGTGTTTCGTATAACTGCAGGAACCATGAGAGTTGGCTTCAGGAAAACGAACAACAGTGACTCAGCTGTTCTTGGCAAACTGAGTGGCCTCAATATATGGAGTTACCCTGTCCCAATAAAAGAGATTCTGCGCATGTCATATGGCTGTGGAACTGAAGCAGGAGACTCCAAATCCTGGGAAACAGTCAGGGATAAGATAACTGGAGAAGTTGAGGTTAACGACTCCAGAACATGCGAGGACAGAAAAGGCAAGTGTTCTGTTATGAGCAGAAATTATCTGTAAAGCTTAATCCTACCTTGTAATTAATAGGATGCTGTTAATGCTGTTAAATAAGTAAGGTATGTCTTTTCGTTATGAAAATGGTATGGTTTCGTAGAAAAGGTTGTGGTTATTCATCGTAATAAAAAATAACAATAAAAGCTTAGTTTTTTCGTTTGTCTCACGATGAACTCACATGTAAAGTAGATCGCGACGTTTCGACTGCATACTGCCAGTCTTCTTCAGGCAATGAGGTCGACTGGTCATGCGTGATCTTATAAAGCAGGATGCTCTACTGTGATTAGTTGTTTTTTCAACTGCTCTGATTGGTGCATTTCGATCCTTGCTGTTCACTCAGTGATTTACTCCCTCGGCGGTGCGCTGTCGCACGGCTCTCCTGTTGTTGTGTTTTTTGATTGTGGGCATCCACGCTTCTGGAATTTCTATTCCACTATCCCTGTTGATATTGTTAGGGTGAAGTCTTATATGAATTGCCTCTTTGACCCTGCGCATGTGGTATTGAGGGTCACGATCAATAAACTTTAATTCGTTCCAGAGTGGCTTGTGTCCGGTTGTGTGGGTATGCTCTGAAACGGCGGAGTTCTCGGTACGGGCAAGTCGACTTTCGTTTAGAGGTTTTCATTATTTTGGCAATCGTTCGGCGAGATCATAGCTCTTGGTCTGTGATCAAACTTATGGTTACTGATGAATGAATGTTATAAAGTTCTTTTTGCTAATAGAACTGAACTCAATATGTTCTCAGTTGGCAGACTTGTGGCAGATGGCATTACGGCCCACGTCAATCAAAGTGCTCTTTTTATGAGTCCTCTTTACGATGCGTCGCATGATGGCAAGAGTCGATGTCTACGGTTTCGTTACATGCTGCAAGGACCTGGGAAGAAAGCATTGACAGTTTACCGGAAGGCAAAAACTTCTCGTGAAATACCTATTTGGATCTCAAAAGGCGTCACCCGGGGGGACTGGGTTTATGGTCAGGTTCAGCTCAGCTCCATGTCAGACTTTCAGGTATAGAATTGTGCTTCTTCACCTTTTCTTCGATTTGCTCAAACGAAGTAGACCTACTTATTCTTTGCTTTCGTAGATTGGATGAAACCGTCAGCTTTTCGATGTTAGTACAATAAGTTACATCAAAACAAGCCGTCCATAAAACTGTGCGGACACATCGTTTACATTTGGTGGAAACTTTTTCTGAGTTGCCACGCGAACCTTAATCTATCATACTTATCCCATCCCCGCACCACCAAAATCGTAAGCGCACTAATAAAGCCTTCAGGCACTAGAAACTGCGATGAGATTAGTAATTAATTGTAGAAATTGTTTCATTTCCGAGAAAGGTTCTTATAAAAGCGGAAATGGAGAGGAGAGAAGACTTAATAGCGTTGACAGGGTTGTACATCGACGAGGGAATAAATTGCACAGTGAAGCCACTGTCGGCGAAAAAAGGTGGAGTATAACAATGTGATGAGATAGAAGGGGGAATAATTTTTTTAAAATGGAATTACGTAAGGGCGTCATTGCCACTGAACTTTGAGACACTTGTGTTTTCGAAGCAATTGAAATTGTTATCGCGCAACTCTAGGACGATGCTGCCGCTGTCATTTGCGCTCATGAGGCACTGTACATGTACTTCGTGTCTAGTAACACCGGTCAGGTTGTAAAGGCAGACAATTCTTAAAATTTTTGCCTTCATCTGTAGTTTCTCTTTCAGCTTGCAGCGAGAACTTAACCAACGAAATAGGATATTTCTTCTCTCCTTCATATCCCGGAAATCTTCCAGATGATACTTTTTGCAAATGGCACATCACCGTCCAGAAAAACCACATCATTCGTTTGGAATTCCAAGAGTTTTTACTCGCGAACCACCCCAGATGCGAGACGTGTTTCCTTGAAATCTTTGATGGACGTGATTGTTCTGCGACCGCGATAGGAAAATTTTGCGGCTATATGCATCCTCCGGTTGTCATTTCCTCATCAAATCATTTCACAATTGTTCTCCGCTGTATTGAGGGTTTGCGAATGACAAGATTCAAGGCCTTTTATCATTCTATTAGAAGTATGTTATATCTCAATAATTTTAAATTTTGAAAATATATCGACCTATTTTATATGCAAAAGCCTCAGTGAAGTGGAATTAAAAGTTCTGGAATTAAAAGATAAAAATCCAGTGGATGACCAAATCAATGCAACTTGAGGTTGAAGTAGGCTTAATTGGTCTACGGGTCACTTTCCTAAACATGAGGTGGAGATGTTTTTCGGTGAAATATGAAACTTTGTCTATTAGCTCGCGGCAGAGAGTTTGATGAGGAGCAGTATTCAATCATTCCTCCAAACAAAGGAAAAATGCCAACTGAAATGCGTAGTGGAGTACCTTTGACGATATTTGATTTTTCTCCCACTTCTCTGCATTAGAATTAATGGTGCTAAATTGAGGAAATCGTATGTCAAAATCTGTGCTTGTTTGTGGGGGAAAAAAAGTTTTGAACCGCAAAAGGAAGGATAATATCAATGGCTGCGACAAAGCCATAAGGGCTAGTCGTTATTAATGCCTTGATTATAAATTAGTGGCTATATCTAACTTTTCCATTTTTCAGCTCAAGATTGGGAAGGATCGTCTTGCTCACTTCATCGAGGTAATGGAATCTTCATCGATAAACTGACTGTTTGAAATAATTTTTTCCAGTTTTTATGCAAATGATGAAAAGGTGGAAAAATAATGGTAGATGGTAACTGAATGTCGAAAATCGTTTTTAGAGTGCCCATCAAGCTGCGAGTGTCAGGAGTTTGGTGAAGTATACGACAAGAGGATTCTGGTTATTGGAGAAAAGTTGCTGGCTATACCGAGTAATCTTCCCTCAAATACTGGAGCAGTGTATGTTTAACCATTTCCCTGCTTATCATCATTATCACTACTCATTATGCTTACAATTACCAAGTCTTTCTGCTTACATACACTGAACAAAATAAAGCGATTTGGCATGATGTTTACGGCAACCGTCAAACGGCAAAAGGAATATTGAACTCATTAGCGCCTTTTTCCAGCCGTTTGCATTCTGAGGTGGAAATATTTTGATGTGGAAGAATAGATTTATGTTCAGAGAAGTTTATTACACAAAAAACGATCCTGCTGCTGTGTTCATTTCAGAGTTTGAGGAAATTGAAGCTGTAAACGTCATGCGTAAACTCTCTACATAACTTACGTGCATACGTTAAGCCGTTCATTGATGATTTCGGTTAGGAAGATTTTTTCGAGGGATTTTTCCTCCTCTTGATGTTTTTTAGCGAATTTTAGCCTGCTGATAAGGTTTCCTTGTTTGGTTTCTTTAGTTCTAGTTTTGGTGATTCCTTATGAAGGCTATATTTTTCACCGCACGAAATAATGTGTCACTAATAATGTCATATTTACCAGGGTTTTTCGTCAAAATCGGATCTCGCAACTTCACGAGAAGGAGTTTTCAGACCTTACAATACTCGAGTATATGTGAGTTGAACGCCTTATTCTCTGTTTTTATTAGTGGTAGTGTTAGGTTTTGCTTGACATGCAAAAACTTTAAAGATGTCAAATAAATGTATGTATATTTAACCAACTCTCTGATTCCTCACGCTATCCTTGGGTTAGCTAAGACAAAAATAATGTATTTTACAGTACACAATACGTGTCTCCGAAATTTATTCTGCAAGTATGGAGAGCACAATTAGAATAGGACTATCCAGGTTTCTTGCTGCATTCGATATCTTGAAAGATCATCGATAACGAGTTGAATGATACTCCTCGAAAAACTATACATTTTAGAGATATCAAGTTAATAAGTCAAGTGTTCTCTTTGAAACAGTGACCTTAGCTTCAATAATCTGCTCCACTTAGATGAAGAATGTTTTCACAACCTATCTTCTGTTACTACACTGTGAGTATTGGATGGCAATTATAGATTACTAAATATCAATTAGACCATTCCAGAGAATCCTCAACAGTATATTTGCTGGCGAACTTGTAATCTTTCTCACCTCAAATGTTATCAGGGCCGATAGGGACATTTCTCCCCATTGCTTCATTCGAACCATCATCCTGAAGGCATCTTAAACGACCAGATCAGGCTGGTGTGGTTGCTTGTGTGACTAGGAGAAATGGATAGCCAGGGTAACGTAGTAAGCGTTTGGGAGAGGGCTGACGACGACATCTTC